AATTTCTTGCAATTAGATGACACAGACATTTATGAGATTTACTAACAAACTAAAGAATATGTAATGAAGGAAAACTAAAATATGGAGTTTCAACTTAGACAAGGAAAAACACACAACTCTTTTTCTTTATATAGATGAGTGTGAGTTTATATATATATGTTTGTGTGTGTATTTGTGTGTGTGCTCATAGGGCATTTAAGACTATGTTATTCATGATTTAGTTTATGAAATGATTTACTTTATAACTATCCCAAGTGTAAAAATTAAAAGCTATGTGCTTATATGTAACACATTTAAAAAATTTTGGCTCTCACAATAGAGAAGAGTCTCTTCTATTAAGTTGCACTTCAAGAGTAAAGCAATAGATTTTTGAAGTTTCATTTTAGAGTAAACCTGGATTTTTTTTTACATAAAGTTTCTCTTATTTTTGTAGTTTTGTATGCCCATGGTGATGAAAGAAATAACATTTGTTTTTTATTGTTAATAGCATTTGTAGTTACCATACTGGGCCTTTATTTTTTAATACAAAAAAATTGAATCACTGCAGATACACAGTTACAAGGTTGTTCATGGTTGAGTTTCAGTCATACAATGTTTCAACACCCTTCCCTTCATCAGTGTACTTTTCCTACTAGGACTTTTAAAAAATCCATATTTTTTGCAACATTTAAATAATTTTGTCTCAATATATATCAATTAAAGGCCTATACTATAGGTCAAGATGCTAGATAGGGAAAGAGAACCATTTTATATATTGGTAAATTATTTTAGGAAAATATGAATAAGTCTTTTTTTCTGCATCACATTGCTACATGCTGCATATATTTCTCCAGCAGCATTGCTTGTCTTCATCTTACTTCCTGTGTCACTATTCCCACTTGCTTGGAAGGCTCACAATGCTATCTGTAACTGCTTTTTTTGAAGCTACTTACAAATATAAGAATGTCTTGGCCACTTTGAAAAATTTTTAAAAATTTCAACCCATTTTCTATTTGCTTCTTAAATAATTTCCAAAATATCTTCTAATCTACATAATCTATAACAGGTTTGCCCCTCTTTTCAGGCTGAGTATATATTGTTTCTCTGAAGGAGGAGCAATAGATGAGGGATCAAGAAGAGAGAGGGGGACGGAGAGCAGGGATAAAGTGGAGAAAATAATACTTTAATTGCTCTTATATATTTATATTTTTGAGGAAAGACAGGTGATTTTGGAGACAACATTAAATATTTAGAAAAATTGAACACATGGTAACCTATAAACTTTCATGTATTCCCTCGACATAGAAAGAAGAACTGTCACTGTCACTGTCACTGTCCTCCCGTTGTTCATCGATTTGCTCGAGCGGGCCCAGTAACATTGTGAGACTTGTTACTGTGTTTGGCCTATTGAATATGTCACGGGTAGCTTGCCAGGCTTTGCGGTGCGGGCAAGATACTCTCCGTAGCTCTCCGAGAGGGGCGGAGGAATCGAACTAAATTAAAAAAGAAAGAAAAAAGCCAACTTTTCTAACCTCTCTTATGTTATCAAGCTTTACAATATAGCTAGGCATTTTCTCCACCTACTTTCATATCAGAAAGTTGAGTCCATTGCATCATGATTTCAGAAGATGGGCTGGAGCAATAGCACAGCGGGTAGGGCATTTGCCTTGCACGCGGCCGAGCCGGCTGACCTGGGTTTGAATTCTCCGCTCCTCTCGGGAGTCTGGCAAGCTACCGAGAGTACCTTGCCTGCATGGCAAAGCCTGGCAAGCTACCCGTGACTTATTCGATATACCAAAAACAGTAACAAGTCTCACAATAGGGACGTTACTGGGTCTGCTTGAGCAAATCGATGAACAACGGGAGGACAGTGACAGTGATGGTGACAGTGAAAGCCAGGTAAAACCATGCTTATCTGATCAATTGGAATTGGAATTAGTAGACATTTATGAATAAAACAAAATAAAAATTTGGTAAGAATTGTTACAAGAAGCTGTTGCTATAGCACAGCAGGTAGGATGTTTGCCTTTGCAAGCGGCCGATCTGGTTCAATTCCCAGCATGCCCTATGGTCTCCTCAGCACCATCAGGAGTAATTCCTGAGTTCAGAGCCAGGAGAAACCCCTGTGCATCGCAATGTGTGACCCAAAAAGAAAAAAAAATTGTTACAAATGCTTCAACAAAATCAAATGAAAATGCTACTTTGATAACTCTACAGTAATGATTGCTTCTCTTGGGTCACTGAAAGAATAATGAGTATAACTTTTAGATACAAAAGGAGAAAAAGTACACTTGATCACTTGTCATCCTGTTACTCATAAATTTTCTCGAGAGGGGGCCAGTAACGTCTCCATTTGTCTGTCTCGTGCTAGTGTAGCCCAATGACGTCTGCTCCTTCTAGGAACATGAAGAGCCTCAAATCGACCATTCAGGGTCTTGACGAAGGAGTCTATCTCTTAGATGGGCAGCTACACGATCTTTTGACATCCCATGGAATCCAGTCAGTAACGGCTCTAGTCCAGCGGTCATCTCCAAATCTCATTACGTGTCCAGCCCATCTGATTTTCGACATCTTGGCAAACGACACAGCATCCCTGATTCTTGGCCGTCAATGGACGTCAGAATTCTGGATTCTTTCTCTCACTTGAGTGAAGCATGATACTCTAAGCATAGCTCTTTCGATTCCTCTTTGGGAGACCCGAATAGCATTTTCATCCTGTTTTCGTAGGGCCCAGGTCCCTGAGGCATATATTAATGCAGGAAGAACAGTGGGATCGAAGAGATGTGCCCAGAGCCAGAGGTTCTTCATCCTCTTAGCTATTTCTTCGATGCTCTTGAAGGTGTTCCAAGCCGCTCTCTTCCTCCTGCGCAACTCAGGTGCCAGGTAATTCATCATGTTGACTTCTCGATGTAGATACACCTAACTGTTGCATTCGGAGATGTTCTTCCATTGAGAGTGAATGGAACGTCAGGAATGAGTCCATTTCTTATGAACATTGTCTTCCTGCGATTCAGCTGTAGTCAGACCTTTCCAGACTCACAGTCGAAGTCGGCCAGCATTTGTGCCGCTTGGCTAATGTTTTGTGTTATTAGAACAATGTCATCAGCGAAGTGGAGGTGGTATAGTTGCCGATCATCTATCTTCACTCCCATTCCTTCCCTTTCCAGTAGTCGCATGACATTCTCGAAGATGTCACTAAAGAGAAGAAAAAGGGGAAAAAGTTTATTTATTTTAATATTTTTCTCTGACTCTTACTAAAAGAAACAAGGGATATGACATAGTATATAATTTAAGACCAAAAGTATCTAACAAAAAAAAAGGGGGCATGGTAGATGAGAGGGAGTAACTTGGAATATTATACTTTTCTGATATCTCTGAAAAGCTGGTTTTCCCAAATACGGTTTATCTTTGCTCCAAATCAACATTTTGCCTGCCATTTTGCTTTTTGTATATTAATATTGAACAATATGATGACAGTAGTTTTTTTCTCAAGAGGAGTGGGATATAACATTTTCAAAATCCAAGGATTTAAATTTTCTGAGCTTTTATTATATACTACTAGAGTGCTTAAATTAACGTGTTTTGACTTTAGATTGTTTTGGTCATTAAAATTTATCAGATATACTTGACATTTTACCTAAATTGCATAGGTTTAGAAACTTAAAATGCTTTGGGGAATTCTAGGAATACTCAAATCTGTTTGAGTTTGAGAAATTTTGCTATTACATTTCTTATCAAATTCTAGACTCAAATTCATCAGGAACTTGCTCTGTATGCTGTGGTATTGTTTACATCTGCACAAGCAATAACATTGACTTTTTATGATGTTGTTTCTCTTTAAAATGCAGAATGGCTTTCATCCCTTCTAGAGCATCAAGGATGATTATGGAGCTGACAGCTACAACACCAAATTAAATTGTAATAAAGGTCTTGAAATTTAATGTTGCCAAAATTTCCATCTGTTTTCTCCCCTTTTCTTCATGCTTGTGCAGCTACTACAAGCAACTTGTGCACTTTCTAGACGTTCTAAAGCACATAACCACTTCCAGATGGAAGCAAAAATAAATGCAAAAGGCAAATTTTCAATTATATCTAAAATTACCAGGTCTTTGCTGTTCCATTTTATGAGTGTGGGGTTTTTTTTTTTTTTGGCGTGTGTGTTTGTGTGTGTGTGTAGGAGAAATCAAGAACAAAATCACCATTTAAATTAGATAACAATACCGGTGACACTGATGTCATAGACATTAGAGAAAAATGTACATAAAACTGATGAACGCAAAACCCAAACTAAAACAACAGTAAATCAGCATCTACACTCCATGGAAGTGGAAACCCTTTGGTGATTGGTACACTCAGCAAGAGGTCCCATGTTTATCAGAGATTTTAGCAGACAACTGAACATCTGTCCACTTCATGGGAAGACTTTTCATCCCAGCATACTTGAACTAATAAACAACAGTTGGAGAAAATTGTCTATGACATTCAACATGATGCCTTGAGCTAAGGCTGAGAGAAGGAAGGGGTGGGACTTTGTTTCCTCTCCTAAAGTGAAAACAGGGCCGAGTGCAGTCTCCTCTAAAACCTGATATTTCGAGAGAATTTTAAGCAATAAAACTGTTCAATTTGGACCGAAGAGTGGTCGAAGTTACTGGAAAGCTCTTGTCTCTGAATCTGCAGAAATCACTGGCCAGGAAAGCAAACTTTTCCAACACCCAGTTTTAATATTGTGCTAAAGCCATCGACTCCGTTAAAATCCTGGAGTTAAATATGATCCCCCTCCCCACCCCCAACCTTTTCTTTCTTAAGTTAGTGTTTGGGGGGGACACGGAGGGGGCTGGAGCTTGGCCCCAAACTCGGAACTGCTGCCAAGGGCTTGTAATCCAATCTCTCCCCGTTTGAAGGGTAAATCAGTGTCAATTGCGTTTGCTGTCCACCAGAAAAAGTAAGCATTTTACTTCCGCTCGGTCTATGTGGACTGATGAAATGTAGGAAATCTGTTTCTGGCAGCGGGGGTGGGGGGTTAAAAATCGTTTTCCCAAACAGCACCGAGAGGAGCCATCAGAGAAGTATGAAGAGGGGCAGTGCGGCTGTAGCTGCTGCTGCTGCTGCTGCCGCGGGGCTGGTGGGGTGCGGAGAGAGGCTGCCGCAGGACCTGCGCGGGAAGGGGGCCAGTCCCGAGTCGCTGCGGGAGCCCAGCCGGGAAGCCCGGAGCCCCTGAAAGCCGCCAGCAGCCCAGCTCCGGACGCAGGGGGTGAGCAAGGCCGCCGGGCCCCGCTGACAGCCAACGCCGCCGCCACCGCCGCAGCCGCTGCGGGGTGCGCGCTTTGCAGCCCGACGCAGCGGAGAGCCCCAGGCGGATGCTGCGGGGTGGCGGCGGGGGAGGGGGGAGGACATGCAAAATAACCTTGGGGACTTGGATGGGAAGGGGGAAGAGCCGCCGGCCCGTCGCACCGGCAGGCTCTGGCGCTGAGTGGGTGGTCACTGCCGTGGGTGATTATTCTCCGATACCTTGGCAACGATCCTGTGCTTGTCGTCTCTATTGTGGAACAGTCCAAATGACCGTCGCACGTAAAGCCCGCTGGGGCGGCGCAGCCAACCAGGGAACGGAGTGAGGATTCCTTATTAGCACACCCATGGCAGAGGAATACTGATGTATTTGTGCCCTCTAAAGGGTCTCTAAAGGGCGCTCTGGAGGGTCTGTTATCTAGGAGAGGGGACTGGATTGGGGTTGGTCTTCACCGATCATTTTTCTGGAGGCTCGTAGGAGGGGATGGGTACACAGAACGATTTCTCGTGCATGTTTTTTCTTTGAAGCTAGCATTGGGTGGGTAGAGTGAGTCACACCTGGGGTTTGGGGTGATGTTGTTTTCCCCGGATGTGAATAAACAAGGGCCAACCCAGGAATCTTATCCCTCTGGGTAGGTTTTTGGCAAGGTATTGTTCTTTTGGTCCCAGGAGCGGGGTTTGGGGTGGGGGTGGGGGGGGCTGAAATTGAGGAGATTGATTATCTGGCAAATTTAACTTTACCAGACAAGTAAAATAAATTGCTCTGAAACTAATCCAAACATCAGCAGTTTCTGTTGTTTTGAATGACAGTCGCACAAAAGTAATGGTTCACAGGTAGTTTTTTACATTCCAATACCATTGGAGGTGGGTTGACCCATTCAGAAACCTCTCCCCCTCAGGCCCCGTAAAATGGGAATTAAAGCCTCAGTCCTCTCCCACCTTCTTCATTTAAAAGAACAACAACAACAAAAACTTCCTCCTACATCTTTTGCCTCTTAAAGGCTACTATTTGCCCACCGTTACTGTCCCACTTGCAAACTCTTGCAAACTCTCCTTCCTGGGATCCCTCTCAAACAAAGCTGAATCATTTGTGCTGGAGATCTTAAACTTAAGAAATAAGATCTGCATGTCCACAGGAACACCCATTTGGCCTCCTCGTGTTCAAATAAAGGCTCAGACAGGTCGGATGTGCTGGTCTGGCAGAGGAAGTTCACTTTTCCTCCCAACCTATCCCCTGAGATTCCCAGCGGTAAAGCTCAGAACAAGCCCTTGTGCTCATGGCTTTATCCCTCCAACCTCCTACCCGTGTGGACACTGATTAACTGCAGCTGGGATCTAGTTTATCCAACCTGGCTTTGAAACTGACCAATGAGTTCTTCCTCAAGGAATGCGCCCCACTAACTGCAGAGGAGGAGGTGGTGGTCCTTTGCAACATGGGTGTCTTGGTTCTGACTGCCTAGGAGAAGGTAAGGGAGAGATGGCTGAGGTATGGGACAGACTGACTTTGCAGTGCAACTTAGAACCTTCACTCAGTATCTTTGAATGACTTCTTGGATTGAAAGGTAGCTTGGATTGCACCCTCTATGGTACTGGGTTTTGGGCCTATTTCTTCACTTTACGGGTAAACACCGTACTTTTGTAAAGTTGATTGGATGTTATTAGGAAATAAATTCACATGAAATTTGTTTAGCCTCGTCCAAAAAAAGGTCATGTGATCTCATCACTTGAGTTTGGTAGTATCTTTGTAAGGAAACACTGTAAAGTTAAATTTTAGATAGAATGGAATGTCAGATTCTTATATGGATCCTCAGTGAGTTATGTGCAGTGTTCGTTTCTCCAAGTCAGCCTGAACCTTTACCTTGGTTGAAATCAAATAATGGAGTTCTAACAGTTTGTTTGCAGAGAGTTTTTGTAAAAACAGCTGCTAGGAAATTCTATTTTGGCATCTTTGTGGTTTTGATATGGAAGCACAAACAGGATCCTGCTGTTTCTTTTCATTTTTTTTCTAAGCAATGATTGAGGTTTTCCACTGAATATTTTCTGACTAGGAAAAAGAACTGTGAGAAGGTGCAAAGTACCCTTGTCAAATGAGTAGGATGTTTGTGTAACTTTCAGTATTTTTAAGGTCAGTTTAATTGATGTTTTTATCTTTTCACTATACATATTTTATATAAGATTATATAATGAATATCTCTATAACAATATTGGATAGCTTTTAATTACTTTATAGTTAAATAAAACATGCATTGTGATACACACACCACAAATAAAAAAATACTTTGTCATGAGTTATGGTTTATACTCAACCTAGATAAAACTGGGTAAAAATCTTAATCATTATAATTGATTAATGACTTGATTCAGATGGCCTCCAGTTAATTTGCTAGGAGTTCAAGTCATGTGCTACATTATTCAGATAGTTTAGTAGAACTAAGATACAACTTGTCAAAAAAATTTCTGATGCTTTGAAAATTAAGAAATTAGTTCCTACTCAGCTTTGTACTTTGATCATAATTTGAGAAGAAAGGTTGATTACAATTGTACCATCTTTTGGTTCAACATAGTTTATCATGTGTCTGAAAGATGAGTGCTCAAGAGGAGACTATCACTCTGGATCAGGCACCTGGAGATCAAAGGGATCATTTTAATGACTCTGTGACTAGATAGCTTTGTTATTTTGGGCAAAACATCTTGTTAGGCCTCTGTCCTAATTGGCAATTGGCAATTGGTAATTTGTGGCACATTTAAGTTTAAAGGAAACTGGTAAATCTAGGGTTCATTTAAGTTTAAAGATTTTATTACTCAATTGAAAAAAACTAATAATGAGTTTGTCTTTATGCTAGTGCTTTTTAATTTGTGTGTAAACTCCTCCCATGAGCCAAAAGTGGAGATGTGTTTAGAAGATCTGGATATACCTTTCTGATTAAACTTTAGACTTTTACTTTCTAATTAGACTGAGGTTAAGATTCTTCATCTCTGACCTTGGTTAGAATATGCAGCTTATAAAACAAATTGTTTTATCGCTTAGCCAAAATAAATCAGACCAAAGAGAATATACCGCAAAGGAAGCATGGTGTAAAGAAAGAATGGTAAAAGAGGCCTCAAGAACCATACTCGGTTAGTTCAAAGATGACACTTTTTACTTCTGCATTCAGTTGGCATTTAGCTTAATTTAGCTTTATTTAAAAAAAATAGTGTTTGAGGGTCCCTATCTTTATTACTTTAGTGAGCATAAATAGAAAAGTGCATAGGGAAATGAAGAAAAAAGTTGCTCTGGGGATGGGACTTTGACTGAAATTTCATTAGTTTTTTTTTTTTAATGTGAGTATGAAGATGTATAAGTGATATCTTCTTACAAGGTGCAATATACTTCTGTCTAAGTTCTAAGTTATATGAGTTTTCAGCTTGCATCAAAATAAGTATGTGTTAGTTGTTTTTAATTTTGGTTTAATTTGTTACAGAATTCTGGTTTTCATTTGTTTTTGTTATTTGTTTTATTTTGAGGGTCATATCCAGCAGTGATCAGCGCTGACCCCTGGCTTTGCACTTAGGGATTACTCCTGCTACTGCAGTGCTGGGGATAGAACTGTGGGGATGACCAAATGCAAGGCAAGCACCTTCAGGCCTGTCCTATCTTTGCCCCCTCTGAAATTGTTTTTAAAAGCTAATTGTTAGTCCTCCTTTTAAAACTCAGTATTTTCTTTATTACCATTGGGGTTACATTCTAATCAGTATGGAGAAAATTTTGTATTTCCCATCACTTCTGATATTATTTCAACAATAATATAAGTCTATTTCTCTTGTATTGTTTTATTTCTCTTGATTTTTTTTCCAGTTTTTTAAATTTTTATAGATACTCATTTTTGTTACAGGATTTTTTTCTTTCTTTATTGGTGACTGGGGGATTAGGCCACAGCCATCAGTGCCCAGGGTTTGCTCCTGGATGTGCCTGTGGTTTACTCCTGACAGTGCTTAGGATACCTGGGATCAAAGCTGATTTGGCTGTGTATAAGGAAAGTGCCTTAACCTTAACTTCTGTAATGTCTCTCTGGCTCAGTTTTACTTTTACTTTTTATTTATTTTTTTGCTTTTTGGGTCACACTTGGTGATGCACAGGGTTTACTCTTGGCTCATGCACTCAGAAATTACTCCTGGCGGTGCTCGGTAGACCATATAGGATGCTGGAAATCGAACCCGGGTCTGCCGCGTGCAAGGCAAACGTCCTACCCGCTGTGCTATCACTCCAGACCCTTACTTTTCTTTTAAAATTAGTTAATATGAATTTTATTTTGACACATTTTCTGAGTAATGATATAGATTTAGCTAGTTTTTGTTGAATATATATATATATACACACACATATATATATCCCAATCACTAGAACAAATACTTAATATCCACAATTACTTTTGTGGTGTTAGCTTCCATTGTCCTTACTGAAGTACTCAAGTACAAAAAGTAGATTCATAGAACTGGAACAGTTGCTAAATTGTTAGATAGTGGGATAAGTACTTGTCCCCAAGGCTCTTGCTTCTAATTCTTATGTTCTATTCATTAACTAGACTTCTTAATGAAATGTCATAGGAGACAGTGGCAGTATTTTTATTATTGGTTCCTATTGTTCTATATTTCCCATTTATTTTCTGTATGCTATTGTAATACTTTTCTTAATGATGTCTCAGCAATGTCTGACAATAGAGTGGAAACTATCTTAATCATAATTAAAGCATACTTCTAGTTGATGTTAAGAATACTTTCTTTTCATAGTCACGCTTACAATGTCTTCAGCTGGAATTCTGGAGCAACAGACTAAACAAAATCTTTAAACATGTGATATTTTACTTATGGAGTCATTAATTTTTCTTCTTCCCTTGGGTTACTTCGCATCTCATCATATTCATAATGGTTATTCCAGAATCACCCAGACAAGGGCAAGAAATACACATATATCTTCTTTGAAGAATTCTGTGTTACATTTCACATGGTTTTTCCTTTAAATTATATTTTTTTGAATTTCAAGTATTTAAGGTTATTGCCCTTTTTTTTTGCCACACCCAGTGATTCTCTGACTTTGCACTCAGAAATCACTCCTGGTGGTGCTCATGGGACCATATGGGATGCCGGGGATTGAACTCAGGTCAGCAGCATGCATGGCTAGTGCCTTACCTGCTGTACTATCTCTCTGGCCCCCATTACCCATTTTTGAACAGAACCTTAGAGCTTACAGAAGTCATTAAAGCATTTAAGTCTTTATTCTTCTTTACAAAGTGAGAAGAGTTGCTAAGTTTCTACCAAAGTTAATTATAAAGGTTTGTAAATATTTCAGTTATATCTACTTTAATGTCTTTCAACGCATTATACAAAAAGTTTCTCCCAGTCATAACTTTTGTTGTAAATCCAGTGACTCATTATTTTATTTGCTATCGCTTTTTTTTTTGTAGTAGGGGGTGGGTCACCCCTGCTGTACTTGGAGTTCTGGGTCTTGCTTGAGATTGAGCCCAGGGGTTCTTCATGCAAAACATGGACTCCACCCCTTTGAGCCATTGTTTCCTATTTTTCAGTGCTACCTCTTGGTATTGCTTGTGATTTTGAAGAAAATTCAAATGAATTCGATGTATCAGAAATTAGTTGTTAGGTTATAATTAGTTCTTTGTTATCTAATCCAACACTCAAGTTGATTAACCATTTGTTAAAAATTGTAAAAAGGTTGCAGGCCTCTAGTGATTTTTAACATCTGGTTAATATGAATTTATTTTATCCTTTCCACTTCAACCTTAGCAGTTTAATTAGTAACTGCTTTATCATGGAATAGCTTTTTCAAATTTCGAATTTTGATTTTGCCAACGGAACTAGTTTTTATTTTCTAGTCATGTGTCTGTGACATTTACATCTAGGATCTCAGGCTAAATCATAGAGTCGTGTTAAGTTTAATGGCTTTTAAAAATATGGGGAAAAAAGACCAGGAGAAACTGGGTTAAAATACTGTGTCTCACAGAATGTCCTTATTTATGACAGTGAATTTTGCTATCTACATATTTCACCTATGTTTAATTTTTTAAATTTAGTGGTTTGCCAATGGCCCAGTAAACTTATGTCCTCCATTTTTGCTTCCTGGCAAAATATGAAATAAAATGTATCATTGTTTATTTTTACCATGTTTAAAATTTGCATCTTAAAATTGCTTAATTAGGCAATGTTTTCATTTAATGATCATCTTTAGGTATTAGAACTCAGTTTGAGTTCCATTTGTGGTAGGACTGACTGCACAAGAAATAAATGTGCTACTGTCAAGGAAAATAAAAAGTTTACTGTTTGAAAGTATTGAGGGGAAGGATTGAGTCCCTTTAGTCATTGAAACTGTTACATGCCATTCGGCTTACTGTAAACTATCCCTTGATGAATTCTTTGCAGGACAATGAGCTTAAGAATCTGAGGTGTCTTCTTGCTTTTACAGACCAAAATAGGGCTCTGATGCTTAAATGGAAGTTGCAGAGCACATAATAGGATGTAGGTAAAGTTACTGAACTACCACATCTCACTTTCAGGAAAGTAGTGGGAGAGATTGTGTCTTGAGAAGAAAGACATTTTTGAGGTAAACCTTTTAAGATTTCAATTAGTTGTTTAAATATACAAATGATTGTGCTTAAATGTCTTGTTACTTAAATGTTTCTGAGACAAGTAAGCCTATAGGACTACTAACCAGTTACACAGGAATGATTTCATTTTCCTGGGAATCTACTTAGTTTTAAAAAAACTGGACAAGAACATTTCAATGTTCCCGTACAGTTTCCAGGGGTCAGAGAAATAAAGTATTCATGTATCATTTTAGATGAATTATGGAATGATTAATTTTGATTACAAAAAATGATGGTGATGTTCTGGTTTCTATAATGACAGACAGTAACAGATGACGAAGTGCATTAAAATATTCCACATTACGGGGCCAAAGAGATAGTACAGGTTAGGGGTGGATTAGGGTGTTTGTCTTACATGCTGCTGATGGGGGTAAAATCTCCAGCACTGCATATGATTTTGTGAGCCCACCAGAAGTGACCTTTGAGTGCAGTGCTAGGAGAGCACCACCAGAGCACCACTGGGTATGGCCCCAAACCAAAGCAAAACAAAAAACAAAAAAATCACACTGGATTGGGTATGTAGCTTAGTAGCACTTAACTTGCCTTCCATATGTGAGGTCCTGGGTTTAGTTCTTAACACCACACACACAGTGAAAAATAGTTTGCATTTGCAGTGACTCTCTTTTGGTAACCAAATATATTGTATAGAGATACACAAAATGGAGGGTTTTTTCCTGACTTTGTGTTTTGTTTTGTTTTGGGCCACATTTAATGGTTTTTAAAGCTTATTGTAGACTCTGTGCTCAGGGATCAATCCTGGTAGTGCTCAGAGGACATATGTGGTGCCGGATATCAAACACAGGAAGACATACTATCACAGAATGCCATACTATCTCACTGGCCCATAAACAAAGAATGTTTTCAAAAAATATACATATATGTGTGTATGTATTTGCAAAATTTTCCTTCAGAGCATACTTGCTTTGAAAATGAAATTATCTGTATATATTTAAACTGAAATTATCTGTATATATTTAAACTACATGTGTCTGATGCATTTAGTAGGTTGCCTATGTTCCCAACCTTTTTGAATATAAAAAAAATTTGAGAATTGGTCATATTTTGTATTTTTCTAAACACAGTGCCTATTATTTTGCAAACATAATTGTCAATACATAAAAATTATTCTATGTTAAAAGAATTATAAGTTGAGACTAGCTGGAAAAGAATTTTATGTAAAACTTCAAAGAATAAAATGAACAGAAGCATATACCACTTATCTTTAAAACTTGTCTTTAAATACAATTTATCAATAATAAAAAAACTTAAAAATTTTGAAGACAGAATCTTATGATAGCATATAAGCCTTTTTTGCCACTTTTCACTTAGTCGTAGTGTATGTGTTTATTTCATGCATACTACTAGTTTGCAAGTGGAGCTCCATTTTTTGTTTGGTGCTTTAGTATTAATTCTTTGGGCTTAGATTCCATAAGTATACATAGTTTGCACATCCTTTCTACATCTGAATAGGGGAACCATCTGTATCTAGCTAATAAAATCTCATTTTGATATTATATTGCTTTAGCTCTAAACAATTCTAAAAATTAAAGATATAAAGTGGGAAGATATAAAATAAGAGAGGAAACCATCTCATGACCAAGGATTGTATTTAATAAAATTACGATATTATATTTAGGCAATAAAATGGATTCATCATGAATCTGTTTTGTAAAATGTGTCATTCTGGAAATTGTAATGGCCTTAGAGTATGAAGCTCAAATCGTACTCTTTCATGAGCTAGTTTGGTTAAATTACTTAATGTCTCTGGTTTTTGCTGATATTATCTCTATTGTGAGAAAAATAGTTTATCCTGTCTAATTCTCTAAATTGTGAGTCCATGAGTGCTTAACCATGTGTAATTTTAATAATAATAGTAATCATACAATTAATTGTACAAATACTGTCATCAGCATTTAGTACTGAAATTACATGGGACTTAGTTGCTTCAAGAATTAACCCAAACAATGGAAGTTTATAATTTGGATCAACCAAATAAACTAAAATATTCAGCAGCCATTTCTTAACTGCCTTTAATAAAGTGGCAGTTTTATTGCTTTAGAAGCTGTGTTTATCTTGTTTTCACACATGTGTAGAGTTTGCTGTATGAATTTTCTATTTGACCTTTGTTTGCTGCTCTTTTCCTACTGAGTGGTTGGTCAAAAGTGGAAGGGTCAGTACAAAGAAAACAATTCGTGTTTTATAGCACTGTAGCCCTGTCCTCCCTTTGTTCATCGATTTGCTCGAGCGGGCACCAGTAACGCCTCCATTGTGAGACTTGTTGTTACTGTGTTTGGCACATCAAATACATCACGAGTAGCTTGCAAGGCTTTGTCATGCAGACGAGATGCTCTCAGTAGCTTGCGGGGCTCTGGGCTCTCCGAGAGGGGCGGAGGAATCGAACCCAGATTGGCCACATGCAAGGCAAATGCCCTACCTGCTATGCTATTGCTCCAGCCCAATGTTTTATAGGTTTAATAGTTAATCATCTGAATATCATAAAAGACGATTGTGGATTCAGTTCTTTACTGTTCCCTTGGCAGCAGTATTTTAACCAAAAAATTCTTGATAAGAAGCAAATTTTATTTTGTTTCCCAAACAGGTATTACAAGTGGATAAATAATGTGCACTGCTCTGAGCCCAAAGGTACGCAGTGGACCTGGCCTCTCTGATATGCATCAGTATAGCCAATGGCTGGCCAGCAGACATGAAGCTAATTTGCTCCCGATGAAAGAAGATCTGGCCCTGTGGTTAACCAACCTCTTAGGTAAGGTTATAAGATCTCATCTTGTGAGCAAAGATAACAAGCTGTGCCCTCCATCCACCCCATGTCGTGTTCTTCACCTAAGCATGTGATAGCGCCCGGGAAAGAAAGACTTTCATTATTTGGGGTTTGCATCAGAGAAACCTGAAACATAAACTTTAAATGAATTTTCAGTGTCTCTCCATGGAACTGTGCCTATTCACTCCAAAATAACGAATTGCAATGGGGAATTAGGTGATGAAATTGCTTATTTCATATGTATGCTGATGTGATTCACTTTTTAAAGTTTCTTTTCAGACAACTTATCAGTTGAGTATATTCTTTTGACATTGCATACAAGTCAGATCTCTATGAAATCTTACTTCTAAAACTGGATTTTTTTTTTCTTTTTGCCCTAGTTTTATAAGACACCTTCTAAAACTGCTGAGTGCCCAAACCCGAGAATAGGATCCTCTATCCTGTGTCCAAATGAGCTGACTAGAGTGACCTTATTTTGAATTAATTTTTTCCTTTTCATTTCACTTTTGTTTTTAAGCATATCTGAAAACAGATGCAAAGGTTGCATCTCTTTCGTGTGTTATTTTTGTTTCTATTTGTTGGCATATTTATAGGATGAAATTTCAACCATGTGCAAAATGGAATCCTTCATTTGAAGACACATCATAACTTTAATGTAATCTCCACCAATTGTTTTTCACAGAAAGTAAAAATATACTAAGGCCTGAACATTTAACCTTTGTAGAACTGATCTGAGACTTGCATATTGAATAAAATTAGAATTGATATGGTGCTTTATTGAAGGATGGACTTCAATAACACTGTTTTATTACTTAAAGAATATTATTTTAATTTAAAGTATCTTTTAAGGTATTTGGAGTTATCTTCACTCTTTAGCTAATGAAAGGGAAAATCTAGGGAAGTAGCATTGTGTATGAAATTTGAGCAGGAGTTTGGCAAGGTTTGGCAAGGTCTAAGCATATTTTAGCAAAATTTTCCATTTTTATTATTGTAGTTGGAGATGTTTGCATTGCTTTTTTATGTTTTAAATCTCTGTCGCTGGGTGATGTGATGCGCGCCTGTAGTCCCAGCTACTTGATCGCTTGAGTCCAGGAGTTCTGGGCTGTAGTGCGTTATGCCAATCGGGTGTCCGCACTAAATTTGGCATCAATATGGTGACCCTCCGGGAGCAGAAGACCGCCAGGTTACCTAAGGAGGGGTGAGCCGGCCTAGGTCGCAAACGGAGCAGGTCAAATCTCTGTCATTCACTTTTTTTTCATTGTTTGAACAATGTTTTGACATCTATTTGTATTCATAGCAGAGCCGAGACAACCATATTTGAGTGTATGCAAATTATATATTTTGGAGGTTTTTAAGTCAAAGGGTAAGAGCAGAAATACTGAAGTCACTTCCTAGTAATTTGCTATTACAACAGAAGGAAAGGTCTACCTCTGACTTTCCCTACTTTAGTATTCATCCTGGAAATGAAGGAGATTTTATCTCTTTACTATGGAGTAATTCAGTTTAACCCAAACAGATGTGTTTCTTTCCTTTCTTTTGTTGTTTGGGGTTTATTAATGGTTATTATATTATAACCTATTAAGAGTTTTGGATTATCTTTCTTTAGATATGGGGTATCACAAATAGTTGGTATAAAACATAAATTAAGAGCACAGACTATGTTTGTATCTGGATCTGACAGCAGTGTAATCTTTGGCTTATGACTTAACTAACTTCTTTCTACCAGTTTCTTTATCTACAAAGTGAAAATAACAGTAGTGTAAAATTTTAATTGTTGCTATGAGAGTAAATAACCAAATTGTATATACTACTTGGAACAATGATATATTACAAGTGTGATATCGGTTATTGTTATTTATTTACATAATCCAATGATACTGTTAATTTGACTTTGTGGATAAATTCATTTATTCAAGAAGTACTTGAGTGAAAACCAACATAATGTAGTTATTTGAGAAGTGGATTTGGAATCAGAATGCACAAATTCAAATCTCAGTTCTACCACTGAACTAACTCTTGTGATTTTGAACAGGTATCTTAATGCTCTGTGCCTCAATTTTATTATCTTTAACATAAGTATAATATTGCATAAGTCTCCTATGATTGTTGGAGATTTGAGCAAGATCATCACCTTTAGAATACTGTCAGATGTAAAATAATCACCTATACTTAATACAACTGTTGGGATTATTGTATTTGAGACATAGTCAGCTAAGAACTAGAGGACAGCCTAGTGATTAAGCCAGAGCTGCCTGTTGTTTTAGAGGCTTCGGTAGGTTTAAGATGCAGCATACTAAATAAGTTAAAGAATAATTAATTCATTGGAATGGTTATTAAATTTTGAAATATGTCAATGTCACTGTCCTCCTGTTGTTCATCAGTTTTCTCAAGCGGGCCCAGTAACGTCTCCATTGGAGACTTTGTTGTTACTGTGTTTGGCATATCGAATACGTCATGGGGAGCTTGCCAGGCTTTGCCGTGTGGGCGAGATACTCTCAGTAGCTTGCCAGGCTTGCCGAGAGGGACGGAGGAATCGAACCTGGTATAGACTTTCAATATTAATATAAAAACAAAGCAATGAGAGAGGGGCAAAAGATCAAAGGGTTTAGAAATTCTCCTTAAGTGATATTTAAGCAGAGGACTGAAGAATCTTTAGTAACAAGTCAAACATTGGAGAAGAGGATGGATGGATTGAGTGCACTTCCTAAGACAGGGCATTTGGTACATTGGAACAACTGGAAGTATACTAGTGTTGACAGTGCAGATCAAGCAGGGGGAGAGTTACATGAGGGCTGCTAGAGTTAAATCATACACTGCTTTGAATATCAAGTTAAAGAACTTGTCATTTATTTTATCATCAAAGAGAATACACTGAGATGTCCTAGGCAAGGAGGTATTGTGATTAGAGTATATCCCAATGTCATAAGACATATCATCAAAACATTTTATTTGGTGAATGTGATCATTAAGTAGCTTGACCAGTGTGTGTAGGGCCAAGATAGCCTCAGAGAATAGGGAGTCAGTGTGTTTGTAATGGAAAGATCCTTTGAACTAAAAGTCAGGAGATCTGGCTCCTAAATGGGAGTCAGGAGATCTGGCTCTTGGTTCTGGCTCTGCCACTGAACAGGAAACTTGCCCAAAGTCACTCAGCTATCTTTCCTGGGCTCAGTGTCTGCCACCATAAAACGAAAGGGTTGGAATGGATGAGCTCTAATGTCCTTTCCAGTTCCAAAAGGTGAAGTGTCCAAGAAATCTACCTCTTCAGACCTAGTTTGAGATTATCAATATACCGAGACAGGCAGAAAACTTTTGCATAAATGAATGATATTTCTTGTAAATAATAAAACTAAATTTTAGAATGCTAACACAAATGCAACTGATAGCTTGTGAAATTTTATGAGAGAAAGAGTCTTAAAAGCGTCTCAAGAGTTTGTAAATGGCACTGTGAATTGCCTTGAATGCATTAGATAGCTAATAGACTTCTAGTGTGTGTCCTTATAGTAACTTGGAAAATAGACAATAAATTGAAATTATTTAAAGTGGTAAAATATTTGGAGTTAAGAAAACAGATCTTTAAAATGGTAATATGTTTTGGAAATTGAGATATTAGAGTAAATTAAAAAGATTTTGCAAGCCATACTGAAATATTCATAAGTTTATATTCTGTAGTTTTCAATTTTTTAAATATACTTGTAACTAAGAGATATTTTGAAAATAGTTTTAAAATTTATCCAGTGTCCATTTAAAGTAGCTGAATTTTCTTGTGAGGTGGAAATTAACTTACTAAATTAAAGCCATAATGTATTTTGCCATTATAAAATAAGTGAACCTTTCCTATGAAAATATTTTCTTCTTTCTTTTTTTATTTTCTTCTTTCTTATTATTCTTAACCTAAGTGTAACTTTCATGCTTTCATATTTAAAAATTTTAACGATATTGCACTGTAGCACTGTCCTTCCGTTGTACATCAGTTTGCTCGAGTGGGCACCAGTAATGTCGCACAACAAATTGTGAGACTTTTTACTGTTTTTGGCATATCGAATACGTCATGAATAGCTTGCCAGGCTTTGCCTCTCGGTAGTTTGCCGGGCTCTCCAACAGAGGCAGAGGAATCAAACCCGGGTCAGCCACGTGCAAGGCAAACACCTTACCTGCTGTGCTATTACTCCAGCCCTTTAATGATATTGTGAATTAGAAATATTTCTGATCTCATATCGAATTTAAATTTAAATTGGGTTAAATATAATTGAAGTTAGACCTCCATTCATTTTCAGATTTTTTTTTTGGTGGTTAAAATTACTTGATAGAGAAGAAAAACATTTTATTGGTTCCTAGATAAGTAGTCACATTCATGCCACATATGAGGATACAAGACTAATTGTCAGGTACTATCTCTAAGTATTATCAGTAAAAATAATAAATGCCATGTTAGATTACTAGGCATATAATTGGAGAAGCAATAAAGAAGTTTTAGAAAAACTAAAATCTGTGTATTATGAGTCCAGGTCTCTTGTGATTACTTGACTAGTTAAGATGGGTAAATAGTTATGTTTTATGTTGGAATTTGTTTATGAAGTAGCAACCAATCAAAATTATGGGATTATAATCCCGCAGAGTTTTCTGACAAGTCACATGTCTTGGAAATGTGTACTCTTATTGTACTCCAAGTATATTTTCTAATAGCTGGTTCCAGGAAGAAGTTATATGACCAGTGTTCAAAAAAGACAGTAAATGAATCTTGAACAGCCCTCTGTTTTTCCTATAAAATATCTCTTTGACCATTTTTTTATTCTGTATTGAATCAATATTTAGATTATTATTTTATTTATACCAGTATTTAGATTCATAGCTTTCATGAGCTATTACTTATTTTTATTAAATTGGATCCTAATATATATCTAATATATAAGTTAAATATTAAGTATATTTATTATAACTAATTATCATTTAAAATAAATAAAATACTATTAAATTGTTTTTGATTA